TTTTGTGCAGCAGTTCTGCTGATTCGCGGTGTTGAAGTCCCAAAAACGGCTTTCTGGCACGATTCCGGATCGTCAAGACGCAGCAGTCAGGTTGATCCGTGGCGTTGAAATCCATAGAACAATGTTCTGGCATGTTTCAGGGTCTTCAAACAGATGTCTTCCAACGAGGCATGTCCCTCAATGGCAATTAACCGTTGTAGGGGCCTATGGAGAGGGAGCTTGGAGGGAGGGTTGATTCCAACATCGTTGGTGACTCTTGGGTTTACACTGGTCCTCCTCCTCCTCCTCCTCCTCCTCCTCCTTTGGCCGCCCCCGAACATCAAAACTGTGACCACCATGGTGCGGCGACGGGCGGCGGCGACGGGCGGCCACGAGCCAGCCGGACCGTGGCACGGGTCCGGCTCTTTACGAGAGGAGCAGGTCAGGACCCCTGAGTTCGGCGACTGCAAAGGGTATGCTTACGCCGGGGTGTGGCTTGCGGTCGGCGCCGTTGGAGCCTCGGGGGGCACGACGCTGTCCTCGTCGGGCCTCCCCGGGGCGCGGCGGAGAACTCGATCGAGGTCCCCGTCCGGCCTCCCCAGGGTGACCCCAGGGTGCGGGTTGTAAACCACACCCTTTGCCAAACCACACCCTTCGGAGTCGGCGATAAGTGCAAGCAGCATCTGGGGAAAACACCATGTTTATACGCCCCCCCTCCTTCCCAGGGCTACGACCCACACCTCGATGACATCTCGGGTTGATCCGGGTACCGCCCTCCAGGGTCTCCCAGGCGGCCTCACGAGGGTCGTGGGCGACCAAGAGGGGGGTGATGATTAGGGGGGTGGATATCATGGCGGGGGCCATGATATTTCATGGCGCCTCTTTTTATTTCATTACGTCCCTGGCCCCCCCCGCTGGGCGGCGCACGTGCCGCCGGTCATGATTACCACACCCCCCTCTCGGACACCCCCCTCTTGGGCGCTCCCGAGAGGGCCTCGGGATGCTCTCCCGGACCTCCCAGGTCCCAGGTGGCCCGAGGAAGATTCGGGCCGGCCCAGAACGCCTCCGAGACAACCCAAAAAGGGCCATGGGGACGCCCACGACAGCGCCTCCACTGCCCAAGAGGCTCCCACGAACACCCAAGAGAGCGCCAAGAAGCATCCAGCAGGCCCCCAAGACCGTCAAGAGCTCAGAGGAGGCCCGAGAGAGGCCAACATCCATCAGAAACTAGCAGGGAATATATGTTGTTGTTGGCGTTCTCGCGTTCTCGCCTCTGATACGATGCCGAGGCTCGCGCGCGACCCTCAAGGGCGCCTCACGATGCTCCCAAGAGGCGCCCCGGGCGCACCCAAGGGGCCTGAAGAGGCACCTACAAAGGCGCTCCCAAGAGGCCCCGAAGAGCCTTCAGGAGGCGCCAACGAGGCTGCTCAGAGGCTCGCACAAGCCCAAGAGCAACCAAGATGCCTCCAAGAAGCCCCAACAGGCCCCAAGAGGCGCCCCCCTCGCGCCCCCCCTAGACTCCAAGAAGGCGTTCAAGACGCTTCCAAGACGCCCCCCAGAGACTGCCATATGGCGGCAAACTCTGCGGAGGCGACTCCTCTCTCCTCATCCGTCCCTCTTCCCTGATCCCTGTCTCCTCCTCCCTCTTCCCCGTTGCGTCCCGTTCCCTCCTCCCTCCTCTTCATATCTCATTCGCTCCTTCCTGCCTCCTTCCTCCCTCGCCCCGCTTTCTGCTTCACTAGGCGTTAGCAGGCCCAACCCTTATTGATAGAAAAGGTAGTTCCCACGCATTTGTTTCTTCAAGTTCGAGCCCCTCTCTCAACTCCTGTGCCTGGCGCTGGCGTGCCCCCATGCGCTTCCGCCACCCCCATCCCTCGCTGTCCGTTCCCCCCGATCTCTCTCCTGCTAACCCTCTTCGTCCGTCGTCCGTTCCACATCCTTCTCCTTCTGCTCTCCCTCTTGGAGCGGATGCGGGGTCGGTGGGAGGAGGGCGGAAGGAGGTGGGAACAGGAGAATCGAGACACGATTTGTTTGTGGGCGCTCTTGGCCTTCATCTGGGCCTCCAAAGACCTCTGCGACCTCGGCCCTCCTGCGAAGCTCCAGCGAGCATGCTAGGCTCTCTGGCGCGATCTTGGAACCCTCTTGGACCATCTTGGGCCCACATAGGAGCATCCTGGGCGATCTGGCGGCTTTCTTGCACGGGGTGTGGGGCAACTTGGAGAATGGAAAGCTGTTCTGTTTCGTTGTTAAATTGCCGCCGGGCCCAGTACGCGACCGCGCCGGGGTTGCGTGTCATAGGCTTCTAGGATACCTGTATATTTGCGACTCTTGGGATGCCTGGAGACTTCGTGGAAGCAGGTTTGAACCATCTTGGGGCCCTTGCCTCTGTCGGGCATCTTCTAGGCCTCTAGAGAGCCTCTTAGCGCCCCTTGGGGGCCTGTTCAGGACCTCGTGGAGGCCTGTTGGCGGCCTCGGGGGTCCATTTTTGGCCAGAGGACTCGACATGTCAGTTCGGGTTCTCTCTCTTAGGCCATTCTTGGAACTTCTTTGGCCGCCTTGGGGCCCTCCTGAGCCGTCTGGGAGGCGTCTTGGGCCGTCTTTGACCGTGGGAAGCCATCGAAGGCGACAACGATAAATCGTTACTTAATTGAAAGAAACTCAATCGTTTTTGGCCTCCTCAGGGCCTCGTGGGGACGCGTCGTGGGCTTTCTTGGAGCATCTCGGAGGCCTCTTGGGCTGTGTGGAGGCCATCTTGAGCGGATCGTCTTGGGCCCTCTTGGACCTCTCTAGCATTGTCTTGGGTATATTGTGTGCTGTTTTGGAGGCCTCTTGGGCCGTCTTGATGCCTCTTGGAGGCCCCAGGGACGGAGTATCAACACATCGGGGCATCCTAGAGGTAGCCGGTCCAGCCTAGCTAGAACTTGAGCGCGCGCGAAGCGCGCTCGCGAAAGTTGTAGATACACGTGAAATTATGTTCCCCAAACAGCGCTTGCACTTGGGTGTTCTTGCTCCTATTCCAAGGAACTGGGCCTGGTTGTCGGTCTGGCGGCTATGTTGTCGCCGTCGCCGCCCCATCGCCGCCTCGTCGCCCGCCCGCCGTCTGGGCCTGATTGTCGGTTTGGCGGCTATGTTGTCGCCGTCGCCGCCCAGTCGCCGCCTCGTGGCCGCCCGTCGTCTGGGCCTGATTGTCCGTCTGCTGGCTACGTCGTCGCCGTCGCCGCCCCGTCGCCGTCTCGTCGCGGCCTCGCATAATTCCCCACTCTCTAAAAAATCGGATCTCCCCCAGGAGTTAACAGTGATTTTGCCCCGTCGTCCATCCTAAATATGAATTCGAAGCATCCCATGCAGGCCAGTATCGGCCCCCCTCATCCTCTGGAAAAAACTGAGCGCGCACAGTCGTTTATCAAAAGTCATCAGTGTTCAAGAATCCCTTGCAACAAATGGGCCGAAATTCGCACGCGCGCGTCGTCGCTCGCGCATGCACAATTGTTTCAAAAACGCTAGGTTTCGCAAGGGTTTCAAAAACGAGTGTCCCGAAAACATGTACGAAACGTTCTCGAAGCGGAATGGCCACATTATGGGGATCGCTTCTGCTGAAACATGGCAGTACTGTCCACTCCACAGTGAGTCGGAGCAGCGGTGACGCCGAATACTATGCACTACTGCGTGGATCCTGCCGCGGTTTTGGAGTACGGGCGACGCTGACCGACCTTGGGGTCGACGTAGACTAGGAGATGGAGCTTTACATGTTCAGTGACAGCTCGGCCGCAAGAGGAATTGCAAGTCGACAGGGACTGGGAACTGCACGACACCTGGACGTTAGATTTCTTTGGCTGCAAGAACGGATTCAGAGCTAGAGGCTGATGCTGAAGATGGTCGAAGGGCACTGGAACCTTGCGTACCTGTTCACCAAAACCCTCGACAAGGACACGATGGAGCGGCTACTGAAGCTGATTTGCTTCACGATGAAGGCCGGCGGTGGCGAGAGGCACCGCGGACTGATGACGCAGGCCGTTTGCCGGCGATGTCTCGCGGAACAGATCGAACCGTTGACTTTCGTCCTCCGCCTCCGCCCAGTCGCGGCGCCGAAGGTCGATGAGGGGGGTTCGGTTTTCCTGGGGGACAGCGTGTATTTCAGGAGACTACTGAAACCTGAGGAACTTTCGGATTTGATCTAGAACGGAATTTAGGAAGAGAGAAATACTTTGGATAGATAGTTCGGAGCTCCGTCCGTAGTACATCGTGCCGAAAAGACAAATGCGTTGGTCGTTGGTCGATCGATGTCCGGTCGCTGTTCGTAGCGCGAGACCCGTCAGAGCAGATGTCTGCGGCACTCGCAAAACCCAGCGGTAGTTTTTTCGTAGCACCAGAAATCCGTCGGCTCGGATTGTGCCACATGGCCGCCTGGATGTACTTCATGAGCAGCAGCTTTGCCAAGCGGCGACATGTGGCACGTACCCCCACCACGCCCCCTTTTCCCCCGGGGTGCTGATGTCACGGTTTGTCCTGGCGGGATAAAGCGGTGGAGGAGGCGAGCGCGGAGCACCCGAGCATCTGCCCCGCTCGCATCGAAGAGCGAGCAGCGGCTTGAACATGGTCTCTCGTCAGTCCGCGCGGATTTTTGCCCCCTTGGCGGCACCTCCAACGCCGCCTTTGGCGCGCTCGGCCAGGGGCGGCGCCGATCCAGAAAACCCGCTCGGATCTCCAAGAAGTTATGTTCATGCAAGTTGTTGCTCCTCTACGCTAGCCCTTTCCACTCTTCGTCGCTCCTTTCCTCCCCCCTCCTCTCCCAGCCGTGGGCCACCAAGTCGCGCGACCAGCTTCGGGAGCTTGGAAGACCGTCGTTACGAACAGTCCACCCCCCACTCCACTCCACATCTTTTGTCGTGAGACACGAGAGGAGGAAGGGTGGGGGTGGGGTGGGGGGTAATTTTCACTATGTGCGTAACGGTGGTCTCTGAGAGCCCGCATCCCCTCCTGGCCGGCCTGCCCTGGAGTGGGGGCGGGGGCGGGGGCGGGCGATGCCCGATGGCGACGTCGGGAAGTCGGGCAAGGGCAAGGGCAAGAACAAGGTCTGGAAGCCGCCGCCGCAGTCTTCGCAGGAGGGGGGCGGGCGTGCGGGCGGGGGGAGGGTGGGGTGCAGAGCGGAAGGCGGGGGCGGCGAGGGAAGGAGGAAGGTGGTGGGACGCAGATATGGGCGCTGGTGCCGTGCTCGCTGATGCAGTGCCTCTCCTACCCCAGAGGCAAAGAGGAAAATGTGCCAGACTCTTGGGGGGCGCCGGGAGCCGCGGCGAAGCTGAAGGGGAAGGAGGAGACAGGCAGGAGGCAACGCGGGCACAGTTGCGGTGGACAGGCGCACGTTGGCGCTGGCACACGTTCTGGGGGCCATCGAGCGGTGCCCGATGGCCACGCCGGGGAGTCGGGGCAAAGGCAAGGGCAGGAGCAGGGTCTGGAAGCAGCCGCCGCGGGGAGGAGGGGCGCGCGGGGGGGGGCGGCCGGAGCGGAAGGCGGGTGCAGCGAGGGAAGGAGGGATGCAGGAGGGAGGGTGGGCACAGGTTCGATGGGTCAAGCCCTATGCTGTCTGATGGTCTGGCGTGCGCCCCCCCTGGGCGAAGGGTCCCAGGAACTTTTTCCTTTCAGGGTCAGAGCAGGAGGCACGACGACCCGGGGGAGGAGTCAGACGAGACAGCGGGCATGCGGGCTACCGGCAGGGGCTTTCGGTGCTCCCGTGTCGTGGCCACGGCTCGGATCGTTTCGATTCATGCGCGCGGGTCCGCCGAGGGAGGACGAGGGGGCAGGCAGCGGCAGGGGGGGAAGGCGGAGGCGGAGGGGAGCGGTGAGGCAGGAGAGCACGACCGCCCGACAGCTGCGCCAGAAAGCGACGCCAGAAGGCCCTCCCTCTGGAAGCCCCGCGCGGCGGACCCTGCCTCGCAAGATCCACTCTGTCCTCTGCTTCGTCGCTGCGCGACCTCACGCTCGTGCACTTCCTCGGCACGCCCGCGATGTGCCTCACGTTCTGAGCGGCTCTTGTCCGCGCCCCTGGTGCCCCGCCTGCTCCCGGCGAGTCCCGCCCGCCGCCCCGACCAGCACCTGCACCAACTCCTGCTCGCTTGCGCCAGCTGACCCCGCAAAGTTCCGGCACCGCCACCGATCATGCCGGCCTCGGATGCAGTCCTCCTGGTAGCCCGGGCCGTCCTCCTCCCAGCACGAGAATGAGACCAGGAGGACCCTCCTGGTTCTCATTCTCATACCAGGAGGGCCCTCCTGGTCTCATTCCTCCTGCTCCCGAGCCTGGAAGGAGACCCAGGTTATGTTGCTCCCATCGTGCTCAAGGACTACATCCCAGAAGTAATTTCGAACGCCCAGGAAAGTATCGAAACAGTGTCGACCGAGTATCGCCTCCCAGGGCCCGACACGTGAAAACCTTGCAGTTTCGGTACTTCCCTGGTGTTCGAAATTCTTCCTGGTGATCAAGGCTAAAGTAGGTTGGAACATCATAACCCGGAGGATCCTCCTGGTAGCTTAAGCCGTCCTCCTCCCCGTCTTCGCCGCCGGCGTCGCCGAGGGAGGCGCGGCTGCTGCATATGTGCAGCACTTCCCACCGCCAGGCTGTGAGAATCGAAAAACAGCGAACGGCACAAGCTTTTGTGCCGGCGGCTATGGGCAGAGCAACTGCGCTGGCGGAAGCGCAATCAAATGGGGGATACCGGTCGAAGCGATTCGTGCCACAGACAGAGCGGCACAAACATAACCTTTGGCGGCCCGCGTGGATTCCTTGGACCTGCGCTGGGGCCTCCTGGCGGCGCCTCCGGCGCCGCCCCTGGCGCGCCCCGCGCGCCAGGGAGACGGCTCCGGCTCACCTCCCGGAGGCCCGCGCGGACCGGCCACGGACATTATTCCAGGCTCTTTACACACGACAGCGTTTCCATTGCAGGTCCGAGCGTGTGCCGTTCTGTCGTCGCGGCAGGGTCCCCGTCGGGCCCCTCCGCGCCCTGCCTCGTCCTTGGGCTCCGCCCCCTCGCCCTCGCACCGTCTTGCCGCCCCGGCTCCTCGGAGCAGCATCCGCACCCGCATCCCTCGGGTGCGGCGCGCGCGCGCCTGGAGGCACTCTTGGACGTCCCTGCGGAGAGGCCCTCCAGCGGCGGAGGCCTGGGCCAGGCGCGGCACACGAGCCACGGGCCCTCCTCCTCCTCCTCCTCCTCCTCCTCCTCCTCCGCCTCCGCCTCCGCCTCCGCCTCCTCCGCCTCCTCCTCCGCCTCCTCCGCCTCCTCCTCCTCCTCCTCCTCCTCTCCTCCTCCTCCTCCTCCTCCCCCTCCTCCTCCTCCTCTCCTCCTCCTCCTCCCCTCCTCCTCCTCCTCCTCCTCCTCCTCCTCCTCCTCCTCCCCCCCCCCCCGGGGAGGCAGCCGCCCGATCCCCGGAGAGCCCCCCCGGGCTCGGGCGCAGCGCAGGGGGGGGCGCCGCGGGGGGGGGGGACACGGGCCCGACGGGCGGGCACGGCGGGCCCGCGTGCGCCGCGCGCTCTCGAGGCCCGAGGCGCGAGGCTCGAGGCGCGAGGCTCGAGGCGCGAGGCTCGAGGCGCGAGGCGCGAGGCGCGTGCGCCGCGTGCTCTCGAGGCTCAAGGCGCGAGGCTCGAGGATCGGGGCCCCGGAGGATCGGGGAGATCTCGGTGGGCCCCGCGGGGTGCTCGAAGACCGCAGGTGGAAAGCGAGGCTCCGCCAGAGGAGACAAGGGCGCCCTCGAGGGCGCGAAGCTATTCGCGCTTCGCGGTTCGGCTCCGATTCCTCCTCACCCTCCACTTCTCCCCTGGGAGGCGGCGCGAGAGCGCGAAGTTATTCGCACTTCGCGCTTCGCGCAGCGCGAAGCGCGAAGTTGGGAGCCCTTGAGGAGAGCCTTTGGGAGCGAGACGCACCGAAGAGCTGGAAGAACGTCCGTGTGTCTGGCCTCCTCTTCCACGAGGTGAGCTGGTAAACCCGTGTGCCTGAGGTGATCCCGGCTTGCTCCACTGGAGTGGAACTGAAGGCGATATGCGATGGGGATCGGCATATGCCAAGAAGTGTGGAAACCTCGGGCGGAGCGTCCAGACCACCTTGCCGACACGTCTGGTGGTGCGACGAAGAGGAGTTGCTTGCCAGGAGCATGTGTGAAGGAGGGAGCATGATGGGGAGTGGAAGGACCGGGAGTTTGAAGAGCGGAGGGAGGAGGAGGTGGAAACAGAAGAGCTACATGCGAAGCCTCAAGTGGTGCCAAACTGGTCTCAGGGGCTGCCCTCTCCTCCTGCCAGACCTTCCTCATCCCTCTTCCCATCTCCCGTCCACCTCCTCCTCATACAGTCGGACCGAGGTACAACATCGAGGTCGGTTCGGGGAGGGTACCCAAAAGTTCTTCGTGTTCGTTGGATGTTCTTGTGTATCCTGGGGGGTACCCTCGAATGTTCTTCAGTTTGGCTGGCGGATGGTCTCGTGTTCTTGACGGATGTTCTTCTGTCCTGGGTCTGGCCGTATCCTGCCTCATTCTCCTCCTCCCACCTTATTTTTCTCTCTGTCCTAATGGGGAGGAAGCTGTCGACCGCAAGCACCACGACGAGCAGCTGAAGGCCAATCAGTTGAAGGCCAAGCTCATGCAGCGGTCCGTGCAGTCCACCAACGAGAAGACCAAGGAAGCTCCCAGTCGCCACCCTCCCCTTGCCTCCCAGCCCTCCTTCCGTGTTCCCCCCCCCGCTCCAGGTGCCCCCCTCCTTCCTTACACATCTGCCCATACCTCATCCTCCATACGTCATCCTTCCGTCACCGTCTGGGCTCGAGCCTATATACGGACCCCGGGATCGAACGTTCAAACCCCCAACTTCGCTCTCCAAAGTCTCCCGGCAGAATGGACGCGTACTCCCAGTACGGCTCCACGCCGACCGCAGGGCTGCCGCAGCAGCCGTTCAGCGCGGACATGCCCTACGAGGTGCCCGTGCCCAGGAAGATCAGCGCGAGCCGGCAGTACGGCAAGAACCACTTCCTCGCTGTGGTCGCGGGCCTCTTCTTGCCGTGGCTGATCTTCGCGGGCGTCTACGCCGTGGAGGCCTCCTCCGTGCACTACTCCAGCAGCGCAGTGGTCCAGCTCGTCGTCATCCTCGCGGCTGTCCTGGTCCTCGCGGCGGCCGGTCTCGGGGCTCGGGCGTGGACCAGGCGCCACGAGGGTCAGGACCCGAGCTGGTATCTGTTCATCGCTCTGACAGGGGCCCTCGCGCTGGCCGTCGGCGTCAACCTCGGAGACTACATCTACGACGCCTACACCCAGCCTTACGAGGACAACCAGAACCTCAACACGTACCGCGACGTCGACGTCTCGACCACCGTCGGCGCGCAGATGATGGACGCCGGCCAGGTGTTCTTCGCCAAGGACACGACGCTGGACCTCGACTATTCCATGGGCTTTTCGAACGTCGACACGTATTGCGTTGTGCCCATCACGTCGTCTAAGAGCTCGCAGGTCCAGACCTACGACTTCTGGGCGGTGGGCCTGAACTGTTGCTCGGGCCACGCCCCCGACTTCCACTGCGGTGAGTACAGCAACCCGAAGGCCAAGGCCGGCCTCAGGCTCATGACTGACAGCCTGCGGCCCTACTACCGCCTCGCTGTCCAGCAGGCCGAGGCGGCCTACGACATCCACGCCGGCCACCCCATCTTTTTCGAGTGGCTGCAAGACCCCACTTCGGAGATCAACGCCTACGAGGACGCCGCCACGAAGTATCTGCTGGTCGCCGAAAAAGAGAAAACGTCACAATCAGAAGCTGTCGGAGCCCCGCGCGGATTTCTTGGATCGGCGCCTGGCCCCCCTGGCGGGGCCTCCAGTACCGCCCCTGGCGCGCTCCGCGCGCGAGGGAGGGGGGCCAAGCGCTGATCCGAGCAGCCCGCGCGGAGCTCCGAAAGTCTGTGCCCGTGCCGCTTCTTGCTCCTCCAGGTCGGCATCCTCGGGTACCTGGCCTTCCAGCTGGTGCTCGTGGCAGCGGCGGTCATTGCGTTCTCCAGGGCCAAGGGCTGAGGGGGCCTCAGGCCAGACTCGGGCCGGACGAAAGGGGGGGATTGGGAAAGGGGGGGGGGTACGAAATCTGCTGCATGCAGCTGGTTTCGACCCCACCGAGGGGCCCATTCCTCGATACATGGCCGCCTCCGGCGCCGGGAGGCGCCTGGAAAATCAGCTACGTGAGCTGATTCTCGAACCCCCCCTTTTGCTATCCCCCCCTTTCGCCCGACCCGCCTCGCCTCCTCCTCCTCCTCCGCCTCGCCACGGCGGTGGAGGAGGAGGGGGAGGAGGAGGAGGAGGAGGAGGAGGAGGAGGAGGAGGAGGAGGAGGAGGGCCCGAGGTGCCAGGAGGCGGAGGAGGAGGAGGAGGAGGAGCAGACGGCGCCCGCCTCGCCACGGCGGCGCAGGGCAGGGCCCGAGGTGCCAGCGCGGGCGCGGCCGGCAGAGCGCACCCGCCCCCAGCGCGGATCCCACCAGCGCCTGGGCATTAGAGAAAAGCCCACGGCCCACGGCCGACGCCCACGGCCGACGACGACGACGACGACGACGACGACGACGACCACGAGGACGACGACGACGACGACGACGATGACGACGAGGACGACGACGACGATGGCGACGCCGACGATGGCGACGATCACGAGGGCGACGCCCACGAGTACGACGACGACGACGACGACCACGAGGCCGACGACGAGGACGACGACCACGAGGCCGACGACGACAACGACGACGCCCACGAGTACGACGACGACGACGCCGACGAGGATGACGACGACGACGACGACGACGACGACGACGGCGACGACCACGAGGCCGACACCCACGGGCGACGGCAACGACGACGACGACCACGAGGCCGACGACGACAACGACGACGACGACCACGAGGCCGACGGCGACGACAACGACGACGCCCACGAGTACGACGACGACGCCGACGACGACCACGAGTATGACGACGACGACGACGACGAGGACGACAGCGACGACGACGACGACGACGACGACGACGACGACGGCGGCGACCACGAGGCCGACGACGACGACGACGACGACCACGAGGCCGACGACAACGACGACGACCACAAGTACGACGACGACGACGACCACGAGGTCGACAACGACCACGAGGCCGACGACCACGAGTGCGACGACGACTACGACCACGAGTACGACGACGACGACGACGACGAGGCTGACGACGACCACGAGGCCGACGACGAGGACGACAACCAAGAGGCCGACGACGAGGACCACGAGGACGACGTCCACGACGCCCACGAGGCCGACGCCCACAACGACGACAACGACGATGACGACGACCACGAGGCCGACGACGACGACGACGACGAGGCCGACGACGACAACCACGAGGCCGACGACGATGACGACGACGACGACCACGAGGCCGACGACGACGACGAGGAGGACGACTACGAGGCCGACGACGACCACGAGGCCGACGACGACGACGACGGTTGACGAATAATGATGGACGATAGACGACGACGACGACGACGACGACGACGACGACGACGACGACGACGACGACGACGACGGATGATGGACGACGACGACGACGACGTCAGTGACGACGGCCGGCGATGACGACGAGGACGACGACGACGACGACGACGACGACGATGGACGACGGATGACGGACGACGACGGCGACCAGGACGACGACGATGAAGGACGATTGATGATGGACGACGGACGATCACGACGACGACGGACCACGACGACGACACGGACCACGACGACGACGACGTCGACGACGATGGACGACGGATGACGGACGACGAGGACGACGAGATCGACGACGACGACGTATGACGGAAGACGGATGATGGACGACGGACGAGGATTAATACGACGGACAAAGACGACGACCACGACGACGATGACGATGACGACGATGGACGACGACGATGGACGTCCGATGACGGTCGACGGACGACGAGGGCCAGGACAAGGGGAGGCCTGTGACTGCGTCACCTGCGTTTCATCACAGCGCTATGGACTGCGTCAGAACCTCAGCCAGAGCGAAGCACGCGCGTGAGTATCGAGCTTGTGCCTGCAGGGGCACGTCGGCGCGAGTGTGGCTTCTTGACGGGTGAGATCCCCCCCCCCCATGGCTGGGGGGAATCAGACCGAGAACACGGGGAGTGAGAATCAGGCGATCGCAAACATGGAGCAAGGGGGCGTGGATTAATGATTGATTGGCTGACGCCGCACCGCCGACCCCTTGGGGCGGCAGTAAGAGTGAAAAACGGAGTTTGCGGAACGATTTCTGGGCAATCCTGGGGTTTCAGCTTCTTGGGATTTCGTCGGGGGCGGTTGGCAGATCGCGGCTCTGCTTTTGAGCTTCTCTGGGCTCTCCTGGCCCCTGGCAGTACTTTTGAGGCCTCTTGGGGACCGTTTTGAGGCCTCTGGGAGCCTCTTTTGGGCCTCTCGGGGGCCTCGTGGGAGCCTCTTGGGGGCCTATTGGCGCCTCCTCAGGTTTTTTCGGGGCCGAGTGCTCGAAATGTTCATCCTGGTTCCTCCTCTGGGTCCCTCTTGGGGCCGTCCTGGGGCCCTCCTGGGTCGTTTTGGAAGCTTCTGGGGCCGTCTTGGGGCCCTCTTGGGGGCCTCTTGGGGGCCTCTTGGGTTATCTTGGGTCGATCTTAAAGGCTTCTTGGGCTATTGTGGGCCTCGCGAAAGCCCAAGAGGCGAATGTGCTAAAAGTATACGTTTGCCGTGGGGAATGGGACGATTTTTGCTTCTGGAGGGCCTCTTGGGACGCCTCTTGGTGGCTTCTTGGGCCGTCTTGTGGGCCTCTGGGACCGTCTGGAGGCAATCTTGGGTGTTTTGGAGCGATCATTCGGCGACTCGTAGCCCCCTTGGACCGTCCGGAGGGCCTTTTGGGGCCCTCTTGGCCCGTTTTGGGCCCCCTGAGGCTCCAAGGGCGCGGCCGACACCTTTGCCCCCCACCCACCCCTCCAAACCGGCCGGACCGGGCTCCCGGGGGAGGGGTTTGGGGAGGGGGAAGCATCTCACACGCCGTGACCCCAAGGGGTCGGTGGATTAGCGACGGGTCCCGTTTCCATGGGAAATCGCGGATTTCCGCCGCCGAATGAGGCGGCACGGGCCGCATTTTGGGGAGGGCACCTCCCCCGATCCATGGAATTTGGCGACCGCGTGCCGAATCCATGGATCGCTAATCCATGCTTGCGCGCTCCCGAGAGAACATGTCCAGCTGCCAACGGCAAGTCTGGCCACCGTGCCAGCCAATCACCTGGGGTGGCGGCTGCTCGGGGGGGGGGGGGGGCGCACAGAGAAGGCCGCGTGTAATACGTGTGGCACCGCGTGGGCCCGAGGGTTGCCGCAACATGTGGCACGCTCTTCCGCGTTGTGTCAGATCTTGTTCCGTGACCGCGCGGATCTGGGCGCTGCCCGATCTATTGTGGGGGCCCATGCCAAGAAACACCCTGCTTGCCTCCAGGGTGCCCTGGGCCTCTTGGGTTTCCATGGTTTTTGCGATGGGGAGCGCGAAGTTCCCACACCAAAAATCAATGGACACCCTGGGGTCCCAGGGTTGGGTTTTTTGTGGGAAGTTTCTTGTGGACGGGCCCCTACTGTACGGGGACCCACGTCAGTCAATATCAGTGCCCAGGCGGGAACAGCTGCCCACTCTTGGGCGAGAGTCCCCTCGCCAGGCGAGACAAAAACACGACGGCCAGACGCTGTGGCGCCCGCAGGAGGGCACAGGTCGGCCAAGGCCTGAGCCGCGCTGTGTCGGAGGCTCTCCTCTTGTCTTCGTCGCCTTCCTCCATTTCTTCCATCCTTTCTTAGGCTCACGTGGGGTCCCTTGGGCCATTTTAGGCCGTCGAGGGGCTCTCTAACGCCCGTCGTGGGTCTCTCTGGAGGTCCTCTCGGGCCAGCCTGGGGCTCTCTTGGGGCCGTCCTGGGCAGCCTGGGGGCCTTCTTGGGCTGCCTTGAGGCCACCTTGAAGGAGTAATTCTCAGGCCATGCATCTTGGAGGCCTCTCAGGCCGCCACGAGCTGAAGGAAGCCCGAAGAGGTCAAGACGCCCGAAGTCCCCAAGCAGTACTTGCACTTTGGGTTTCCCATTTGTGGCGCTGAGGAATTGGATGGGTCCGCCGAGCTTCGCCGCGTCGAGCCCGTGGCCGCCTCGTGGCCGCCGACTTGGGGGGGGGGGGGGGGGCTTCCCCGAGGCTTCGCCTCGCCGCCGCGCAGCGAGGCGGCCACGAGGCGGTCACGGGCGGACGGGCGGCTACGCGGCGAGACCTCGGCGGCCCCCCCCGGTGGGCCGCGCAGCGAGGCGGCCACGAGGCGGCCATCGGTGGCGCCGCGGCGAGGCCTCGGCGGGCCCCTGAAGCGGGCGGCCGCGAGGCGGCCGCGGGCGGCGACGCGGCGAGACCTCGGCGGACCCCCTCAGCAGGTGTCATCCAGGCGGCCCTCGGGGGGTCCGCCGAGGTTTCGCCGCGCCGCCGCCCACCCGAGGGGGGGCCGCCGATGTTTCGCCGCGGCGCCGACCGTGGCCGCCGCGTGGTTGGGGGTCGCCGAGGACTCGCCACGTTGCCGCCCGTTGCCACCACGTGGCCGCTGGGGGGTCCGCCGAGGATTCGCCACATTGCCGCCCGTTGCCGCTTCGCTGCCGCGTCACCAGACAGCTTGCACCAGATGGCTTCTACCGCATAGCTTACGTACACCACATAGCTTGCAACCAATAGCTGACACATCCAAAGTGCCATACTTCACTCCAAAGTGCCATACTTTCCTGTGTGGGGTCCACGCTGGCTGACCTGGAAAACACAACTCTCAGCAAATCGATGCTGCGGGCATCTTCGAGCCACGTCATGCTCGGAGTCTTCTCGTGGCCCTCTTGGCCCTCCTCGGGGGCCTCTCGAGCCGTCTTGAGGCCGTCTTGGGCCATCTTAGCGGCATATAGGGGCCATCTTGGCGACCTTGCTTGCCTGCCGCGGCCGCCGCTTTCCGGCCTGTCCCCGTTCCG